ACCTAAATCTTCAGTTCACTGGTTCAATGGCGGTCTCAGAGTCACGCTAGATAAATTATCAAAAATTCGTAGTATAGCGGAAATTCCAGATGACTTTTTAATCTATAAAAAATACAAAACGGAGTATCAAAATGAAATAAAAAATACAAGAAAACTAGCTTATACAAACTATTTACAGTTATCCAAAAATAAGAGCAAAGAATCTTGGCAATAAATTAACACCGCGAGGTGTAGCATAGGTAAATAAAATTTTACGAAAGGTTTATCCCCTGACGGAAATATTGGAAATTTTGGATCAAACTCTCGCTAGGCCATCTGAGTGGATACATAACTTGATTAAACCTAAATGCTCATTCCATTTTTCCCTGGTTTCTTCACTTGAGATCGAGCAGGTCATAATGTCTTTGAATAGTTCAAAAGCTTATTGTGTATTGTTTGAACAGTAGAATTATTAAAGAATGCTGCAATGTAATAGTTTTACCATTAAGTGACATAATAAATAGGTATTTCCTCACTGGAATATATCCGGAGGTTTTTAAAGTGTCCAAAGTGGTGCCAATCTATAAGAAAGGTGAAATGTCTGATCCTAATAATTACCGACCAGTATCAATTATCCCAATAGTTTCCAAAGTTTTAGAAAAAATTATGTATTCTCAACTATCTTATTATTTTGAGTCAAATAATTTAATAAATCGAAACCAGTTTGGATTTAGAAAGGGGCGCTCCACCACCACGCTCCATTACGTATAGTCTCTGGAATAGTTGAGGGCTTTGGGGGGATGAGCATAGCACTTTAACGCTGTGTGACCTCTCCAAGGCGTTTGGTTTGGAACCCAATGCGCTAGAGGTAATTCTTATCTCCCTAATAAAAAGCAAGCAGTTTTTTGCAGTAATAAAATGTCAAGTTTACGAAATGTAATGCACGGAGTTCCACAGGGTTCCATTATGGGTTCATTATCGTTTTTAGTTTATTTATTGATCTCTTTGTCGATCCTGACCCTGTGACTGCAGATGACTCAACATTTAAAACATCAAACACAAATGTAGAAATTCTTAAAATGGAAACACAGTCGGCAAAAGAACATGCCAATATGTGATTTAGAGCGAAAAGATCTGCGAAGTTGTTGGGTGTGGTACTGGATGATAGGCTTCGAACTAGTAGTTTAAATATATTAAACGTATGAAAAATTCTTTTGACCTAAGTTTATACAACTTAATTCCAAATCAAGTCACAAACTTGCTATTTAAAAATTTTAAAACCAAAATAAAATCTTTTTTTTTGAACATTATTTTTACTCTGCAGAGAAATACAAACAGAAGATCAAAGATATTACCTGGTTACCCGATTCTTGATGGTGGCCACTTTTTGGTTGTGTTCGGTATCTTTATTTTTTTCTTCATATTTATTCCTGTTTGTTTTTATATGTTATCTTTTGCGTTGTTATACCTATTATTATTGTAGACTTTATATAATCGTATGTGTATGCATATATATGCATATAATTGTATATTTTTTTCTCTTTTGTACTTAGACGTGCTGTAAACATACTATGTATTGTAATTCAGTCAAATAAAAATCTATCTATCTATCTATCTATCACGAAGCAACAAGAAGGGAAAGGACAACCTCCATTTCCAAAACAACCAAACCAGGTTTCATTAAGCTAGGTCGCTACTGGAAAGAATTCGAAAAGTACGCAGCATGCAGCACAGAACTAGGAAGAAACTAAGAAGACCAGGGATATATCAAGAAAGATTTAACGAGACATAGAAAAGAAAAATGAGTTACCAGTTGTTATGTTAAAAGGACGCGGATATATTTGTTTTTTTTTTCGTGATTTTTCTTTTGTCTACGGCTTTGATCACTTAGGGAACAAGAGATACTAATCTATGCTAATGATTTAATAATAAACTCCTCAGTGCACACACCAAGACAACACCCGTATATAGGTATATTGGATACACACGTGGACCTATGCGCAGCACGCATTGGAAAAGCAACATAAAATCCATTGGTCGAACACACTAATTTTATACAAATAACAACACTGACACTTTCGATAAATTGGTGGAACTGACAAGGATTATGGAAACCATTACTTGCAGACACCTATATATTTAAGCTGGTAGACGTTCGGTACAACTTGGTCATTGTTCGTTGAGTCAAATCAAAAATAAAGGCAATAGAAGTCTATATAAGTAGTTTAAGAAAGCTGTCACAATTCTACAAATTTGGCTTTTCCCTTTTAATTCTTTCCACATATAAAACATGCTGTCTTCAAGTTTGTTTACGTCGTCTGCAGCTTGCTATTCATTTCGTCAACAATTGTGCAGGTCTCCTTCGGATATGATGTCCTTGGGAAAACACATATTAGAAAGACCTTTAAATATTTTCCTTCTCGCCATTCCACCATTCTTTTGCCCGCGGCTTTTAAAACTCGAATAATATAGTGGAGAAATATTCCGGTTTCTCCCCTATTTTATATTTTGAGAATTACAGAAGTAAATATGTTAATTTTATTTAAGGACAACAACTTCTCCGAGACACAAAGTGTTGCGGCACACGATAAAACCTGAGTTATGCGATAACAATTTCCCTGAAAATGCTGACGCCGCCATTCTCACGGAAACTTCTTACCCATTGTTTTCTTATCTCGAGCTGTAATGCGAATACGATTTGCTACGTAATTCGTGCTCGGCGGTAAGTTTGTTAGAGATGGCTGTGTTTCACGCTCTAAATAGACCCTTTCCCTTACAATTAATGGTTATGAAATGTTAAGATATTTTAATAAGAATAATTATTGTTTTCTATAAAACGAACATTTTCCCCATAATCGTCGCAAATATTTTTTACTCAAACCGAATTGTGAATTGGTAACTACATAGAGGATGGCATTATTCGTTTTTGAAAATATTTGGTTCAAAGAAAAAAATAAAACCGAACGAAAGAGCGACACAAAATCAACAGGGCTTAGGTTTTCGTTTGTTTTGCCGAAAACTAAATTAAAACTTTGCTCTGTAGCCTGAGGTTGCAGAAATACAAAATAAATCCTGCCGATAAAGGCAGAAATCAATAAAATATATGGCAAGAAATTTACCGAAAAGATTAGCGAGGCGTAACACAAAGTTTAGAGCGTGGGCGTATTCAAAAGCAATTACGTTTGCAAAATATTTTCACATGGAAAATTTCACGGCCAAAAATTTCGCAGAAATTTTAGTTATTTAGCACACATTTTTAAAATATTATTTTCACAGGCTGGCTATAAAACGACTTTTAATAATTTACCTTTTGTAATAATAAATTGCTTTAATCATTTGTAGTAAAAGTTGCTGCTGATTTCTGGTACTCCATATTTTTTTACTTGGTCCACTCAATTTCAGTATTATCTACAAGTTTTTCGTCTCATTGACCCATATGGAAACGCGTGGTTTGATACTGCTGAGTTTGAATACTTTGAACTTAAATTACTGATTACATTACTTTGACATCATATTTCTTTCTACGAACTAGCAAGGATAATGAACTATAATTTAAAATTTCTGACTGATGTCCTTTGAGTGAAATCAGGTGAAGATGACAGACATAACGTTAATCCTATGCTGGTATCAAACACAAACTTGAAACTGTTTCTTTGCCATTCCATTGTTTGATTATTTATTGTCTTAACAGTGAACGATGTCTGGATGTGGCTATTAAACCCTACTGTTGCTCGTTATATGATATAATACTGTCTATGATTGCTGAAATGAAACTCAATTTTTCCATTAGTACTTTTGATGTTAAAAGGATCTGCCACTTTTCCTATTCGTTATTTTCTTCATATTATCATTTTTACATTGCCGCAAACTTGAAATATACAACAGTAAGGTCATTATTAATATTTACCAACTTCTTGGCTCTGTATTGTTATGACTAGCAAATCTCAGAAAATCTCCAGATAATGAGAGTGGAATTTCAAAAAGGCAATCAAATAAATTAACGGGCCTTAAAAAAGTAAGTTAAAAGTGGTTTATTGAGTGGTTAGTATACTTATTCACGTATGTATTATAACTAATGAAAAGAAAAGAGAAATAAAACAAGGTAGCAAAGCACGGAATTTCTTAAAAATATTCAATAATAAAGTTTTACGCAAGTGAGTGGAAATAGTATATTATGTAACAAGATTAGTCACGAACGCAGCGGGGCGAGTGGCTGGAAAAGAAGTTTATCAACGCTTTGAAAACTATACTGTTTCTACGACCATTAGTTAATGGGTACATCTTTGCAAAACAGCACGAATACTAGGCGACATACACGTAACTGTCAGAGTTCACAGAAGTCAAAATCTATGAAATCTCCAGAAAACATGTGATCACTCCCAAACCCGCGACTAAAATACCGGAAACGTCCGACCCTGAGTAACGAAGCTAAAATCTGAGAGATATATTTTTCACGTTTGATCCGTGCACCATTGGGTATTTTATACTACAAATCGTATAAAAAAGATTTTTCATAAATTCCATGGAGGAGTAAACAGTCCCTTAAATCTAAATTTAAATAATGAACATGCATGCGGAAGGTGACTTTTGTAGAAGGATAGTATCAACATTGAGAATAATAGAATACCTATCAATTTTTTTTGGACAAAATAATTTTCGTGAAGTGTGACTGACTTATTTATGTAGTGAAGAGACAACATTGCTATTGTCAATAATAGATGTGCAAACATTACGGGAAAATAATATTTTTTATAATTTTTTACAATTACGATTTTTTTTTTGAATACTTGTTAATGAAAATATAATTTAATGAGATATCATGAATAGGAATGTACAAGGTAGCCAGATACACTGCAAACTTTACAATTTTTTTTACTAAAATGAGTATATTTGAATTTTCATTGAAATTCACCTAATAAATGTACAAATAAGAACTTTTAAAATTTTATTTGAGTAATTTATGTTTTTTTTTACTTTTTTTACTATTATAAAATAACACATACGATTATATAATGACTTACCCTACAGTACTTCTAATGATTACGGACATAGTGGTAATGCCTAACCCGCTTCCACATAAAATAAAGATTTCCACTAATTCTCTGCGACGTTTAAAATATTGAGCGACCATCAAAGTTGAACAGTCTCTGGTTATCCCTGCCCCAATGCCGATAACTGTACCATAACTGAAATGAAAAAAATAATTATCTAAAAAAATAATTCTAAAAATGAGTTCAACTTTAAAAATTATATTTATATTCAATCGCAGGTATTCTCAAACTTACATAGTTTTACTATTTCTATATAAAGGCTATATTATTAGAATGCATGTCGTACTCACATTTAATTACCTGCGAAGAAATTCCCGCAATTTTTTCATAAAATTTTACGATCGTGATTTTTCCCAACACGAATAAATCTGAAAACCAACTGTTTTCTTCGGGAATTATTTTTCGCATTATTTTTCTCTGGAATCTTGATCGGAATCGACAACCATATTTGTTGGTTAATATGTGACAGTACGTCTTATTTCTCACATCTTTTGAAGTACCGCGTTTAGGAGCAGCTACTGATACAACTGATAATAGATTTTTAGAAAATTGCTTAGTTAATTTGAACTAGAATATTCTAGTCAAAAAGAAAACTAATTTATTTCAACCTATTGATTGTCACCTTATATATGGAAAATGTTATTCTGAAAATATTAATTAGGGTTTCAGAAGTTTTCACAGCCTACTGTAATACTAAATACAAATCTTCCAAATTTCTGCTACTTAGAACTTTGATGAATCGAACTTGCTGACGTTTCTCCAATAATCTTGTTGGCTTTTTCAGAGCTTAAATGGAAAAACTAAGTTGCGGTTAAACTCTGACAAAGCCTACAAGAAGATTTGTACATAGTATCTTTTACTTTGTGAGACAAGGACTCTTAATCCTTAAAAACCTGCAAATTTAATAAAAAATTGGAGACGATAAATCCTAAAAAAGCTAATCGAAATTGATGGTAACTAAGGAAAAAAGAATGTGCCAACACAGACTGAAATTTAATTACGCTAAAAAATTACGTCGAACAAAACGAATTCCAAATCGATAATAGGATTCCTATCGCAGACAACCCTCGAGGCGCAAAACAATTCTGATAATAAATTTAAAAATGATACCGATTTTCAGCTGCTTTTGTTAGAGCACAGTTGTCAGCGTTTTCACGAGAATTCTACTGCATAAGGCCTATATTGATGAAACTAGGTATTTAATATATGACATTCGGGGATTCGAAAAGTCATTGACCAAATGTCTGTAAATGTGAAGCCAATGTAAATAAATACGCGGTATACATAAACCTAAGCATTTAGCTAAGGATGACTATGTAACACGTAAGTAATTACAGACGATGTGATCCATACGTTGGCAACGTCCGGTCACCTTTGGATATAATATCATTTATTAAATGGCTTGAGCTAATACTATCTACTAAAAATATTTAATTATTGTATTAACATTTTTTTTTAACATTTAGCAAAATTAAAACTCACAATCAAAAAAACATTTCAGAACAATAAACTGAGAAGAGTCTAGTCTGCCTATCTAGGCCAAAGTATCAAACTTTCAGAGTTGTATTTAGAATTGCAAAATATAAATTGTGGACCACTAAACCCGTTATTTTATTGTTGTAAGTATTTAGTTGAGATGCCAAGAACAGATCGGAAAGCTATCAATTCAACAATTTTCAATACGAATTTTCACTCTTGACATCAACATTGAGAACTTGTAATGCATGGGTAACTATAAATTGCAAATATAAAGAACAATTTTTGTATACTATGAAACTGTCTTTCAAATTTTATACCTACAACTAAACCCAACACAAAAATGGAATGTATCATTTCAGGTTTTCGTAATTTTTTCACGTCGAAGTTCGGTGAAGAGAAAATAAGTACATAATTATCTAAGCGAACAACTATAGCAACTTTAAAATTTACCTAAAAAACAACTGATGGAATTGAGTGGCGAAACTGGAAAAAAGACAGCCCAATGCTGTTACGAGTCCCCCCATGACTGCAGTAACCCGAATGGACTTTCGTCTACAAAACGCAATTGTTATGGGGGAAACAAACAGGGCGACCCCTGCTGACATTGCTCCGAGCCAAGCTGGAAAAAAAGCCGATTAAATGTGCAATTAGACAAACAATATACATATAACAAAATCTTTGCTTCATGTTTTTATCAACCCTATGTATATGTGCATAACAGAGTATAAACACATACTGAATGAAAAAACCACCAAGGCAGAAATTTCAAACAAGTTCGAAAGGTAAGTTACAATTAGAATTCCCAAAATATGTGCAAAATCTCTAATATTTTTTTATTTTTATTTTACGAAAAATTTTGATAGTTAAAGTCACATGATAACTTTGAAACTGCCGAAGAGCACTTTTTTGAGAAATCGTTGGTAGTAAAGTAGATACTTTCAGATTTTTGCATCAGCAAAGTCGAACCACAATGCATGTTCCAACATATTGGTAAACGAAGGAATTGTTGTAATGGGATTGAAAATTTACCTTTTATTTTATATGAATTTTTAATAAATAGAATAAGACTGATTTGATCGATTGATTTCGCATTATATTAGTTTTGGTAAGATATTTATTTATATTTAGACAAGAAGTTCTGCAAAGTTTTGCTTTGCTGTAGGCTCGATAGCCACGCATAAATTCAAAATTTGTGTTGTGATTACTACGCACTAGAAAATATAGCACTTGTAGAGCATGGATATATTATAGTAGTATATTTTCTAGTTCTACAATATCAGTATATTGAAACCTAAAGCATAAACATATCTGTACGTGAGTTTACCTGCTGAATCCTTGATCTGCCATCCGAACATACGTATAATTTCCAAATAAAACAATCCCGCAGATATCACGAAGCCATGACTAAGAAGGTGCACAAGGAAGGCGGCGGTGACCACCACCCATCCCCATCCACCCTCGGGATAATAATGTTGTTTGAGTGTAAGAAGTTGTCGCAAATCTGCGACCAGCCGGGCAGCTCGAGATGCTGCCGGATCTTCAGCACCAGATCCCTAAGCAAAAAACTCAATAATAATGTTCTCATATTTTTCTGTGGAACAAACCCCATAGTAACTTCCAAGGCCCGAATCATGGTGCGATAATTGAGGCAAGCTTCTTGAGCGGGACAAGCAATTTCTCCGCGGCTGGTCTTCACAAGACAATTCGTCGTCGGTAACCGCCATCTATTAAAATCATCCGTGCCCGCTTAGAATTAGCTGATGAAATCAGAAGATGCGACATCCTTCTCGACCATAAGTCTACCTAGTGGAATTGTTGACTTGGAAACGAAAATCTAATCCACACGCGATGTTGCTCTGCAACTAAACACGTAGATTTAAAAAAGTTAGTAAGTTACTGAAAAAAGAAAATTTCACTGATTAAAAATAAACAAGTCAAGTTCAAGTTAGTCTATGCCCTTTGAGGGATAAGAGTACTAATGTACTAAATTGGCTAAGATAAATTTAAATCACCATTAAAATAATAATCATTTTAACTATGTACAATAATTTCTTTCTTGGAACTTTAAGACCCTGCATCTCAGAAACGAAACTCTTGCGGACCTATGTTTTAAAGTTTTTTTTTCTTAAAAATACTTTGAACACATTAAAAAACATCCTGGATACTCCTATTATTAAAGATAACATACCTATATTGGCATAGTAAAGAAATTGCAATAGTCGGACCTGCATACAAAAGGTTAAGTCTAATTTTATTGCGATCATGCAATGAATGAATATTTCTGAAACGAACTTTAGTAACATACGGAATGCTGATCGAATAGAATTAAAAAAAAACTACACCAACAACCTTTTGCAGTCTTTAACTTAAAACGCGTTAGGAGTTTATAAGACTAACTTAATTTTTTTATAATTTTAGTTGTTACGCGATAGTGGAATAATGTGTATTGTCGAATGTGTACATGAAAATATTCATAAACTAAAGAACGAAAGCAGTTTATGTCAAATTCAACCACTTTAAGATCATATTGAGTTTCTATATACGTCGAAATATCTCTATAAACCGAACTGCGGAGCAATCTTTAGAATTTCTATCAAACCAAATGAAGTAAATCGTTCGCAACTTGTCCTTTTATGGTCCATATTATTTCGCCTTAAATTTATCGACCGAATCGCCGACAATAAACTGATATTTATTTCAAACAATATACTCGGTTATAAAAGATTATGTCAACTACTTCTCGAAAAAGCTTTTCACAAATTGGACCATTAATTCATTTTATTTCTCTCATATTTTGTAGGTGCGTAATCAATTTTTGGTTCGGAAAAAAATTAACGACTGAGACCGAAGATGAAGTTTTCCATAACATACCAACAAATTGACTATGCAGCATAACGTTCGATAAATTATGTACTTAAAATTCTAACAACTTCCGATTAATTACGTTGAGTTTAGGAAGGCCGATAAATCACGCCGGTCAGACGCAAGAAGAAAATTTATCCCAAATAAGTATCTTCTCTAGGACACTCGGGACCAGCTTTATCCAGTTAGAATTAATTAAAAAACAATACGTATGAAGTAAGTTTCATGTTTTTCAAATTAATCGAAATTGAGTTAAGAATACAAATGAAATAAAATGATAAAGTACTGGTATAATACGGTTTAGCTATATCTTTTGGTTTCAGTTATCATATTTAACTAAACCGAAATGGATTTGAAAACCAACCTATGTTTGTTTCGTAGGTTAGGATTGGTGGTAAGAATGACTAAAAGAAATGTTGGTGCCACTATGAAGAATCTAAAATAATAAAAAATCAGACATCATTATTCTTCAATTTTACTAATGCATAATAAAGATATTCCGTATAATAAAGATATGCCGAGACATGTAGAGTCACTATTAATTGGAAGGGTCGTTATGAAAATATTAAACATATGCTCAGGAGGAAGTGTTAAATGTTAAAAAAATTGAGACAGTTTCAAATGATATATAGGTATACTCGGACAATAAATAGTGCGTTCCTCTTCTTGTATATATATGATGGCTATCTGCTTTGACTGAAACTGGCTCGCATTTTACTCTGTACCTGCTTATATATTGTTTGAGGGGGACGTAGCTAAATGAGGGGCATAAATACAGTCTCAGATGACTGATTCCCATATTGGTGATAGGTCGCGGTTAAGATTGTTAAGGTTGTTTATATATTTCTATAGACTCTCGGATTTTCCGTTGGTAGAAGAATTGATTACATGCAAGAATATTAGTTTTATCGAATAACATTTTATTTCCGGTTTCGTGATTGTATTCGGCCAGAGCTGATGAGTTTATTTGTCTTAGTCGTAAGACTCTTTCGCGTTCTTTGAGCCTAGTTCTTTGCCGCATATACATGGAATGCTGTAATCTGGCATCTCAAATAGAATTTTGTCTTTGACGGACCGAAGATGTTGGGAGAATTTTGGACAAGTGGTAAATCTGGTTTTGACATTATACTTCTTTAGAACTGTGATGTTTTGAATGTAAGGACCACAATGGGAAGTGTAGGGTTGCTTTTGACCTCTGCTATTGGAAGGTTGTGGTGAAGTGTATTTTTTGATGGAACGCTTAATATCCTTAATGTGGAAATTATTAGAGAGAAGAGCTGTTTTAATTTTGAGTTAAGTGACTCGGGCTGAGATAGTTTTATGGCTCTGTAAACAAGAAACTTGATAACCGATGATTTTTGGGCCGGATGGTGATGTGACCATGCATTAAGGTATGTGTGCGAAGCTTCTCTGTAAACACAATGACCCAATGTTAGGTCTGATTTTCTATTGAGAAGAATATCTAAGAATGGAAGGTTATTATTAGTTTCCAAGTCAATGGTAAAACGTATGTGAGGGTGTATAGAGTTTAAATGTTTAAGAAAATCTGCTAGGGTTTCTTGACCATGAGGCCAAATAATAACATCGACGTAGCGTTTCCATAATTTTGGTTTTTGATGAAAGGTGTCTTCTCAAAGGCTTCCATAAATATATAAATATATATGACTAGTGATAGTGGAGAACCTATAGGTTTTCCCGACATTTGTTCAAAAATTCAATTAAGGTGAGAAGGTTTGGTTCCAGATTCTCGAACTTTAATATATCTAAAATGATGTTGAGAGTTTCAGGAATAGGAGAAACTAACTAGAATATCTTGTGTATCTGTGTGTGTGTAATGCTTTTTAATTGTTCAATGAAGTGAAAGGAATTAAGTACGAAACTGTCAGAAAGGGGTTTTAATAGTTTTAATATTTTGCTAGAGAATGTGTTGGAGAACTAATGGTGCTGACATTAGGTCGAGGAGGTAATCCTGGTTTGTGGATCTTTGGGAGTCCGTAGGGACGAGGAATTTTAGAGTCATGGGGGGTAAAGATTTTTTCAAGGAGTCTGATAATGAAGAAGCGTTAATAACAGATTTAAGGTTACGATCCATAGATGACGTAGAATCTTGTTGACAATATGATCCATGTGTAAGAATATATTGAACCTTTTCCTGATATTCAGGGCAAAAACCGACACAGGAGGAACCTAGAAGTTTTGTAAAAAGTATTACAGTAGCCTGTGGAAGTTTCTTTGAAAAAAAAATTAAGGTTCTAACTTGTTGAATCATATTGTCTCAGTATCCAATGGGGTTCATATGGAGCCAAATGGATTAACAGGGGGTTCTAAAATCTCTCCGATGTATCCGTCACGTGCTAAATGAAATTCCTGAATTAGAACTACGACCTCATACAATAGCAGAGCCGATTCCGTAGCTGACGGTTTCGACAATGTTGCATTGAGCGTATCGTTCGCCAGGGTGTTTGTACCCTCTTCTCCGGTAATCATCGCTTTCCCCAATTTTAGTGTGCCTGGGCAAACTAAAGATAAAATGATTTCGTAGTGCCTGCAAAAATCGATCTTGACTTTTCGTTGTCACCATGTTTCGTCCAGGTCTTCTTTACTTTCTACCAGATTGTATCACATTAAAGCGGAAAAGCCACGTGAACTTGCGGAACGCCTGTTTCCACAAGTGCCATCGCGGCGGCACATTCTTCAGGTGAAAAATTTCCAGCACACGTTAGGCCTTTTTGCTTTTTTACTTTCAAACAATCTTGATAAGATTATTTTTTGTTGATAAGGATCAAACTTAATAATACAAGTATATATCATCATGAACTGATAGAGATAATAAAAAATCTAACTTTCCTTGTCAGGAATAACATTAATATCTAAATTTTTCTTTAAACTTAGTTAGTTTTGGTTAGTTAGTTAGCTAATGGGTTCTTTTATAGGTAACTTAATCATGTATATAATTATAGAAATATAAAATAGAAAATATAACACCAAGCCAAATGTGGCGCAAATCGTAATCTTTAATATTGAAAGAAAAATGTATAAATAACAGCACCTCTAGTTCCATAAAAACAAAGAAACTACTCAAACGCCCTGCTAAGGTCGTAATAGATCCCAGCAATTGTTCAATATTGCTACTTTTTTTAAATAACTAAGATCGTTCGGGTTCGTTAAAGGCGAGGGTGAATTAGAAGAACTTACTCCGAGTGGAACTTAACGAACTGAAAATTTATTTCGTCTAAAATAACAATTAAAGTCAATAAGAACTAAAACTATATATGTACACACTATGCAAGCACTACTAATAAGATCATCCAAATACCGCACTCTGCATCTTCCTCTTGACTACTAACTGCTTTCTGTGGAGCAGTTTTTTTCACTTTTATAGAACGCAATGGCTTATAGCGATGATGGTCGAATGTTTCCGTCGTCTCTCGATTGATGGGCACTAGTTACCGCGTTCTCGATTTTTTCTACACGCAGATAGGGCCGAACGGATCGCTCGTTTCCTCGTAGTGGAAAAGTGCGCGTTGCCATGTTACCATTTCATGAGAACAGCAATTTTTTTGCATCAAGTTTTACCTATATTGCGTAGGTAGATAAAGGTTTACATTTTTGCCTTTCCCTGTTCTTATTTTAAGAATAAATAGATATGTACGTAAATATTCACAAAGTCATTTTGGTACCGACCAATTCCACTGACCAATAAATTAACACGGTATAAATAATCTATATCTATATCTTTCCACCACCCTATATTTAATTTAACTGATGGGTTTTCTGTTCTCGTTTCGAAATAGATTACTAGTAAATCGCGGGTATTTACTCCCGGGATAATCTCGCCTCGTCCACTTAAGCTTTACTTGTTTTTCTCGGTTTCGACCAACAAAAATAGTTAAATGTTCCCAACTCCAGTTGCAATTTGCTCGGCTTTTGCTTACTTATAAATCCATTAATTACAGTCTTACAATAAAATAGTGCATTTTGGGAGATTTGGTTCGGCACT